GCCATCTCCAGTTCTCTCCGCCACGGAATGATACCAATTTCTACACTGGAGATCTTTTCCTATTGCTGACTTGAGATGTTGTCCAACCACCCTTGAGTCAGCCGAAAGCTCTTCTGGTGTGAAATTTATGGTCCCCATTACTGATCCCTCTTGTCTTTTGACCTCTGTTCCCCGTCTCTTGACTTCCCTCCAAGGCGATGGGTGACAAAGCCTAAACCATGTTACACACTGTGAGGCTACCTTTCCATCTGTTCACAATCAGGAAGAGTCTGGTAGCACATTTTCAGAATAACAAAGGCCATCAGAAGGCCTAAGCTAATGACATTGTTAGTCTGAAGGGGGCTACCAGATTCTTTCTGATTTTGGACTATTACTAATTGATCATAGGCCATCAAGTTGATGTTGACTCTTAGCAACCACGTAGATAGACCTTCTCTGTCCCCAACCTGGTCCTTCAGGACTCCCAACGGTGCACCCATCACTGCTACAACTAAATCCATTCACGCTGCTGCTGATCATCTTTTCTTCCAACTTCTTTTCTTCCAACTTTTCCAGCATTATGGACTTCTCAAGGGTCTTTGCCATATCATGTCCAAAATATGATAATTTGAACCTGGTCCTTTGTGCCTCAAGTGAGAATGCTGGACTAATTTGTCCTAGCATCTATTTGTTCTTCTTCTTGGATGCCCACACAGGTAGTCCTTGTTTAATGACTACTCATTCAGCGATTGTTCAAAGTTACGACGGCGCTGAACAAGAGGTACTTATGACCAGCCCTCATAGTTCCGGCCGTCACAGTGTCCCCACAGTCATGTGATCGCAATCCAGCCGCTCAGTGACCAGCTCAGAATTACGACGATGCAGCATCCTGCAGTCACGTGATTGCCATTTGCATCCTTCCCTGCTGGCTTCCGACAAGCAAAATCAGTGGGGAAGCTGGCGGGAGGTTGCAAATGGTGAGCATGTGAAGTTGTGCTTAACGACCGTACCAGACGCGCTTATCGACAGCAACCAATGAAAATTCTGGCCCCAATTACTGTTGTTAACCGAGGACTGCCTGTAGTATTCTCAGGTTTGGCGATCATAGCTAACCGATTTTACTCACTGGGAGGCAGTTTTTGGATTTTATCAGAAGAAGGAATAGCTCGATAGCCCCTGTTCAAGCTGCAGATCACGAAAGCATCTGCTTTATCCTAAAATGTCTTAGCTTGAAAAGGCGCTCTCAAACTCTTTCTGATGTCGGGTTACCATAGACTAACATGGTTCCGCTCAGCATAAGTCCATCTCAGCAAAGCATGATTTAAGGAATATTTCCTCCTGGGCTGTGAACCAGACTGAAGCAAAAAAGAGATTTGCCGAGGCGTGTTTGCACTATTGTTAGCAAAACCTCCAGATCGCCACTCTTTAAAATCTCCCCGGCTGTTCTTTACGAGGGCTTAAATTTAGCTTTGGCTAGTAATCTAGGGGCAAGAGAAATTAGGTTTCCAAATTAAATCTGTCCTTGATAGGAATAATCAGATTTATACTGTAGTCCAATGCCAGTAAGGATTTGTTGGTCCCTGCTGCCCCCTAATGCCCAGGGCTGGGAACTGCACCTCCCACCTGGTGAGGTTCTTGGGGTTGGGGCTCCTTGGATGGCGCCACCTGCAGGACATGGGGGGCAACCATCTCATTTCCATTCTGGTCTGCTTGACGGGTATCCTTGCCATCTCCAGTTCTCTCCGCCACGGGCATCTTTTCCAGTAATGATGCTCTGGAAGGGGAAGGAAAAATAGTACGTCTTCATCTTCAGCCCCCAAGGCAAGGTGGGGAGGGCAGGGGAAATGATTTGGCCTAATCTTTCTCTGCTTTCCTCACCAGGAGGAATCGGGGTGTCTGTGTGTGTATACGTGTATGAACTGTTGGTGTGTTAGTGAACAGAATAATTGCTTGGGGGGGGAGGCCACAACACACAGGGGTTGAGACAAATTTGAAGGAATCGCCCTTTCTGGATGCCAGAAATTAACCCAGAGTCTCCTTGCTGATTTAAAGTCGAAGGGAACAATCTTTTTAAACAGCGAATAATCTTTTTACACAGAGTCAAAAGCATAGGGGGCCAGGGGGAAAACTAAATGTGTTCATACTGATGTAATTTCATGAAGTTGATAGGATTTACATCCTGTCTATTTAGCCATGCAATAATGTGCCCTGTCCTGAGTCAATAAAATCAAATATTCTTTACCTATCCTATTATAAATTGCAATTAGGCAGGGCCTTTTGGAAGGCCCCTGGGGGGCTGCGCCAAGGATTTGAGGGGATTGGGCTCTTCTGACTTAAAAATAAATCAAGTTTCTTGTCCCTGTAGGGCCTATTGCTTTGGCTTGGCAGATATTTAAGGACGAAAGAGGGCAGGGAGATTAGGAAGAAACTGGAGCAGCTCTTATAATGCAAAACACCCAGAAGGGTTCCCTAAGAACTGTAAAGGGCCTCCTTTCCTTTTGCCCATCCACACAGTTTTCCCCCAGGGCAATGAGGACTAGTAGCTTAGGGATTGGTCTGATCCAGCACTAAGAATCATTGCATGCGGGGCTCTGAAGCACAGAAGCAGAGCAGCCAGAAAGAGAAGTCACAGATCCCGATGCAAACGCCGCCCGAATCCTGGCGTTCGGGCGTGGAACTCCCGTGCCAACTGCCCCCTTGCCAAGGAAGATGGCTTCTTCGTGGCTTCAGGGACAGCCTGGCATCTGAGGCGCACGAGTCTAGCAAGTACCTGAGATGATCGTATTTCCGGAAAAGGGTGTTGAATTCCACCGCCCTCTGCTGCAATTCCACATCGTGGCAGCTGCAATAAATGGAAACCAGACTCCGAATCCGGCTTTGCAATTGGGAGGGGAGAGAAAAAAGAGGGGAGAAGAAGAGGTTATTGTGTTTTTTCTTCCCGTCTTGATCCGTCAGCCCCAGCAACTCCCTTCCCAGCAGTTTTACGAGCCCCGAAAAAAAGCAAAATCCCCCACGTGAAATCGCCAAACCAAATGGAGAGGCGAATGAAAAGGAACGAGTTGCCTTTTCACCAGGCCAGGACCGCCATCGCATCACGTGCGGCGCATAATTAGTACGAATTATATATTTTTTCTCCTTGCTTTAGCCTATGGTGTAAACCACCCCTTTCGTTCACTTCATGCATCCATAAAGTGGCCCCAAACCTAAAACATGGGTTGATTCAGTCGTGAAGTTAAGGTGTGGTGCAATGGCAGACCGGATGAATGGCAGGGGGGTCAAGAAAGTCAAGATGGCAGATGCAACCCATGGGGTTGAGGTTCCGCCTTCGGTGATTGAAGCTCCGCCCTCCCTTTTACCTGAAAAGGAGGCGTGAGTCTGATGATTTGGCTGTTGATGCCATCTTGACTTTTTTGACCAACCTGGAGACATCCTGATGGGTGGGAAATACTGGGAGGAGGGGTTCAACTAAAGGAAAATTAATTACGTGAAGTGCGTAGATCAGTGTTTCTCAACCTGGGCCGCTTTAAGACGTGTGGACTTCAACTCCCAGAATTCCCCAGCCAGC